TCAACACGTGACCATGGAGCGTGCAACCGTTCCGAAATATCGGGAAAATAAAAAGAAGTCATACCGTGGTAAGAAACCTGATATTAGTGATAATCATTTAGTGAATAACCACGAAAGTCTTAAAATCTATATCTTATCCATGTTTTTTTATAAGTAAATGAGTGCGCATTTCAACTCCATCTCACCTGATGGTAAGCAATAATGAGGTCGACGATGTAGCATACACATGTAAGTGCTTATTCACTCTCGCCTTGAAAAGGCCCAAGCGTTCGGGTAACAAGTCTGCAGGCAGGGAATTCCACTCCATTGCCGTTCGACATATAATTGTGGAAGCTCAACGCTTCGTACGAATCTTTGGAATATCCACAACATAGGCGTGGAACCCCAGCCTACGTCTAGTCCCACAATGATGGAACAGGGGAAGTGGTATTAAATCATGCAAATCGCACACTCTCCGTGATGTATCCTGTAGAACACCGATAAGCAGGCAACTTTAAAGAGGTGTTCAAGGCTCTGATAACAATGAAACCCTTTTAACATGGATATATTAGATACCTCTATATAAGATATACCTTTCCATTCGTTTGCCTTTATTGTTAATAATAAGAATTAGTCATGTATAATAATCTCTACCTGTAGTGTAGTAAGTTTTTCTTCTAAACTAGTCAGCCTCTCTTCTATACTGTCCTGTCTTGTGCTCATGTCCGAGACAATTTCATAGACAGTGTTCTGCGTCTGTAAAAGAAAGGGGTCCTAATATCAATCGTTTTGTCGTTCTTCGTCCACTGTTGGCTTTTAGGTATAAAATTTGTGGTGAGTTTGTCTTGCTATCTTTGTTTTGTTTCTAATCTTCTATTATAAGCTAAGGTCTACTAGGAGGCCTTTTAAGATCAAGTACAAGCAGAGATTAATTGACAAGCTTGAATGCAATGTATGTCTGTTAATGTGTGTGCGTGCGCCTTGCGTGAACTTCTGTAAAAATGACAATTTGTTTTACAGATACATACAATACGACAACTTTAAATTATAAAGCTGTACGGTTATGAAAATGAATTTACTATCTTTAAATGAATGGCCTATCTCCAGTAACATTCAACCGTTTGGTAAATAAATAATAGTACACATCAATTTCTATTCTTAACCGACTTCAAAAAAATAGGAGGTTCTCACTTCGACTGTATATTTTATTGTGCGTATGTACGCTATTACTCCAACATTTGTGTGCAGATTTACATGATTCTTTTTTTTTTTTACTCTTTATTTATTTACGGGTTTTGATCGTTATTGAACATATCAGCCCCATTAGAAAAACGCTACCTCAAAAAAACGCTTAATAAAATCCAGACAGATAAATCAAAGTACTACCTAACCAAGTATGTATACAAATTCTCCGTGGCACTACATGTTGGCTCCGACAAAATAGATTGAAACCACCCAACATAAATGTACGGACACGAGTCTGGGCTAATAACCGCGCCCTGATAGGTTCCGTCCGAACACACTCCATGAGCAAATGATTGTACATCCTCAGGAATACCACACACTTCGCAATTCGGTGAGTTCACCCTCCGCATCAAATACAAAAATTTGTTTAATGGAACGTGTCCGGAAGTCATTTGTCGATTTCGATCATTCTTTTTTTGCTAGGAAGGGGGTACCTCGGTGGTGGTTCCATGCAAATTGAAGAAAATATTCCACCTCTAAAGGTGATAAATTAAGGGATAAATCCAGTTGATTGGATTTTACCAACATTCTATTAACCGATTTCAATAAAACTTGGCCAATTCCACAGACTTTTGAAGTCGATTTTTTTATTTAATCTCATGTGCAAAAACTAACCCTTAAGCCCTTAAAGGCAAATAAAAATCACGTTTTTAATAGAGAAATTAATGTGTTAGTTTAAAAAAAATTAAATATAGCTTTATTCATAACAACATGAAATCTAATAAACAATTTAGAATAAATACATACAAATATTTCGAAAATAATTTCTAAAGATTTTAATGCAGAAGATGGAGATGAGTACACATTGAGTATACGTACAAGTAAGTAACTTTTGTATTAATAGAAAAATGTATTTACTAGTCATACTAATTAGAATTCTATACTTGCCATGCGTCAAGCAAATGCGAATGGAAGTGTTATAAAATAATTTAGCATGCTTCATCTACCCGTCTATACTAAAGGATTAGCTATAATTAAAAGGCTTTACATTTGTAACTGGCTGGATGAAGCTACTTGCCAGCCCTTTTAGTGTTTCTAAATGTGAATTAGCTTACTATTTATTTGAAAGAAGATAATCGACAGAGCGTTAGAACAAACCATTCATGCCATGTGAAAATAAAAAACAAAATTTTTAATGATTATTATTTTTATTAATTTGTCGTCTTATCTTTTTGACTCCTCGCGTTTGAGTCAACTTGAATACATTATTTTAATTTAAGGAATATATTAATCAGCAAAACAAGGTAACAAAATTGCGTACAGTTTTGTCGTGGACATTTGAAAATTCGAATGTAATTTTTTTTCAACTTCAATACAAATTTGAACTCACGAAGGTGAAAAATTTGAAACGATGAAGTTTCGTAAAGGAAAACGTTCTGATTTATAGAGTTATTTTGTCGCTCTTCCTTTAGTGTCTGCACAAGTTATTTTACTTGATGACCTTTTCTCTGTCGGTTAACTCTTCTAAATCAGATTGTTACTAAAGTGCTAAACAATACTTCTAAATGAATGTGTTGATATGAGTAGCAGAGCGTACAAGTTAACAAGTAACTCTAGTTACCTTTGCCATATCTGTTATTGTGTTGGCGTTGTCCATTAGTTTCCTTTGATCCATTTTCACTTTTCGTAATCTGAAATAATAATAATAATGGAAATCATCGTTCAGTTATATCATTTTTTTCTAAAAAAGAACTAGTTTTGCTGAAACTTCTGTTTTTTTCCAAAATATTATCAACAAATTTACAAAGTAATACCCTAAGTTGCAGTGTTATCTATCTTCGTCATCATGATCATCAACCTATTTATGCGTTCCACTGCTGGACACTGGTCTACTCTCAGGCGAGAGGTTAGACCATATTCATCCACGTTGGCCCAATGTGCGTTGAGGACTTCATACGTTTTTCAGAGAGTTATGAATCTTCTTCAACATACAGGTTTCATCACGATTCCTTCACAAGCTCATGATAAATTTCAAATTAAATTTCGCACATTCCAAAAAATTCAGAGGTGCAAGTCCAGATTCGAACCTGTCGCCTCTTCTTGAGAGGCGGTATGTAAAACCAACAGGCTATCACGGCTTTTTTATTTCTTTAGTTTTCTTCAGTCTATATCATAAGTACTAAAACAATATGCAGTTACCGTCTAAGGATAATTTTTTACACACGCACGATTCTATACACTTGTTCTTTGTTGGCTTTTTATATATAGTTTAAAATATTTTCAGCTCTGTCAAATTTGGTGTAAACTTATTAGCAATACTTTTGAGTTGAGGAACCTGAAAGCCAAGACACAGATCTCCTGATCTAGTTTAGATTCCACAAAAAGCAAGCCCACATAACCGCTCACTGCTAAAAGTTTTTACTAGAAAATGTCTATTAATTCTCACCTTGAAAGAGCCTATTCAAGGACAGATTGCAGCACAAAATTTGATATGAATTATAAATAATATTGCTGCAATCTGCCTCCTGGATTTATCTCATAATCACTGCTTCCGTGCCCGAACGGTCACCATGCTGGTCTGCCAAGCTAATCTTTGCGGGTTCGATTCCCGGGCCGGTAGAAATATTTGTATGGCCTACATTAATTTCTCTCATGAGTATAGTTTGTGGTTGTTTACGCGTGTGTCTATGGCACCCGCTACACAGGGTTTCCATAGTGCGGGGCTATGAGTGTGTGCGTGTGCGTTTTAAAATTGTCACATTTATTAAACTCTACTACTCATTCGCAAGGCAAATTCCCTTGGGAAGAATGAGCAAGAAACTCTAGGAAACGCCTTTTTGAAAATAAATATCTCTTTAAATTTATCATTTATTGTATTTATTTCAAATACCATAGATCGGAGACAATCTGAAAGAGCTAAACGGGTCAGTGCCGTGAATCCAAGTACTTAGAAGCTGTATAAATAACATTTAATGTAAAGTTTTTTTTTTCACTATAGTTTCAACCTCGTAAGTACAAAACTTTGAATATCAACCGGAATCTTATTTTATGGAGCGCATCACATACATAAATTGCTCCATAAATAAATTTGAAATTTTGTGAAGACGATTCTCAAGAACAGCCAGTTCTTTATTATACGTCGTGTTAATGTTTATTACGCTAGTATACAAATTTAAGTTCTTTAAACTTTTCTCTCAAAACCACTATTAAGCAATAACTGCACGTTCTTGCAGAAAATGCCGTATGTTATTTAACTGTGAAAGTATCTAAAGTAAACCAGTCTAGCAGTTTCTATGTCTGAAAGTTTCGTACTTTTTTAACCCATCAGAAAGAAAGAGAAAGAACAAAGAAAAACGTTTATTCATTAAATTGAGTCACTGATACACAATGAAATAGTGATACACAGTTAAATTCTTAAAACAAAACAACAAGGGACTGAGTAATTTTAGGTTAATAGGTAAACCATCACGTGGATATAAAAATCTTCTTTTCACCCACTAGCTCGGAAAGGCTTTCTTTGTCATTAGAAATCTGCGCGCAAAAGGTTTTTGAAATTCGAACTTGACGATATAACAAATAACTATTTTTTACCAAAATTGTTAGAGATCCTGTATCCGTGGGACTTCCTAGAGACGGAAGCGTGACGGGTTAATCACACACATACATATAACAAGTAAAGCTTTGAACAATACTTACGCGTAAATGGCTAACAAGAACTTTCTCTGATGAGTCCTGACTCGGCCTGGATGTACACGTTTTACAAGTCGAGTGTGTTTATATATTAACCACGTCTCCCGGAGTACGTTGGCCGCTGCGTTTTTCAGCTGAAATGTTCCGTCAATTGTTCTTTACATTTAGTAAACATTAATAAGGCACTTAAATACTTATTAGCTAAATACTGTAATAGCTAGAAAATGCTTACTAAAACCATGTACTTGGATAAATCTTTTTAATATACAAGGTGAACACAAAGACGATCACTAAACTCTATCGGATCAGGGAGGTAGCGTATATAAATTTCACTATGGCTATAAATATATTAACTATTTGTCAATACTTTAGTTACAGTACTATTTTTTACATTTAAGCTTCAGGATTATACTATTTTCGCGGAAATGGCTCTACACAGAGACATATTAACTAAACTAACGGATAACTTAGTACGTAAGTCGAATTTTTCTCGACATGTTTCGATCCAGTTCGTGGTCCTTCGGGGCAATCGGGGCTCTGCAGTGACGGAACACTCATTGGATTCGGATTCGACGCTCAATATTCGTTTTGATAAAGTGTCTGTGCTAGCGACAAAAAAGCATTCCACATACATGAAGCTATCGAGATCAGTCGTAGACCGAATTTAAATCATGACAATGGTTAGTCGGTATCCCCTGACTGGAAAACAGTGTTAGGTACTAGGTCAGTGGTTAGTGTGGATGAGACTTTAGAAAGTTACGGTGTTAGTCTAGTGTTAATGCTGCGTATGAATTTAATAAAAATAAGGCAAACGAAGGTAGATGCTCGCTGACGTCGCCTGCACCGCAGCCGTACTGCACTCAGTACGGCTGTACGGTCTCGATCACTATCGGGCTGCCAAGGATTTGGCGCGCAGTTTCCGTCAAGTCACGCCGCGAAATCTCATGATTAACGACTACGGACTGGTTCGAAACATGACGAGCAAAATTCGACTTAAATACGTGAGTTACCCGTTGGTTTAGTTGATATGTCCGAGTCTTATGTGGCTTTCTATTTAAAACCTACACAGATACTTTCTTTGTAATGTGACGTCCAATGTGACTCTCATGTTTATTAAGAGAAAGTTAACTTTTAGCTGATTTGTAATGTATTATTGTGCTATTCTAATACATAAATATATGCATATTTTTCTAAGTGGATAGAAACAAAGAAGAAAATTTAACTGATATTTCAAATGCAGAACGACACTGCGTAACTTTACCCGAATATTAACTAAGATCTGCGTACGCCGGCATCGGAAGTGTCAAATAACTGTGTATAGACAGTAACAGCAAACATTAAAATGTAACTGCGCAAATAATGAGCAGGAAAATAGTGACGTGAAATAATATACACTGGGGTAAAATAATAATAATGACGTTCTATAAAACCTATTACCTAGTATGAAACTAAGAAAGTTCCTGTACAATATGTACCAGAGCAACGGAATTAACTGTGCGGCACTATCAAAACCATTAACCAGAACCAACTTAGAAAAAAACCTAGTTAGTTCTACTGGTAATTGAAACCGGGATCTTCTCATCCAGCGCCCACAATGCCAAACGTACTCGTCTATGTTAAGTTCACAGTGCAATCTCTCGCATACAAATGTTTAATTAAAATACTAACTACCTCATCGGACTAGATTACTGACATTATAAACAATGTTCTGTAACTTTTGACAAAACATGATAAAGAAGGATGGCGAAACCTGTTCATGGACTTTGCTAGTATAATTTTGCGTTTTACTTTATGCCTAGTTATCAATATATGTTTGTATATTTTTAGAAGTCGGGAATAAAAAATTGTATTTTAGAATAGATGCAAGAACACAACGCAATCGATTCAGTTCGACCATAGATTAGGTAATGTTCTTGTACGTACGTTTCATTTTAAGCATGATTGGATATTTACCTACCTCAAATATTGATTATATTGTAGAACACACAAAAAACATTAATGCTATGAAATACCTAATGAAATAATCAATTATGCAGTAAAGACATAAAGCAAAAAATAATACACAATGTGACAAAAATATTTAGAAAATATTTAAATGAGAGATAATGAAAGTTGCAAAGGAACGTTTTGACAAGAGACTTCCTGCCAGTGTCAATGTCACATTGATATTGCGAACATTGTGACCGTTTGTGGCAGATTTCCGCCATTTAGGCAGATTTAATTTCTATTCATTTTCATTGCTGCAGAACGTGACAAGTTATATTAAATATGGTAGAGTTTGGCAGATTTATGAATATTCGGGTAGTTCTTCATTATTTTTTGGAACAAACTGAAAACTTGTTGTTTTCTGCTACTACGAACATACATCTGAAGCGAAATACAGGACAATGTTATAAATATAACCTATGTCAACTTTATAACCTCAGCTTCTACAGTAGTACTCAATTAGCTTTTTTGATGCATTGATAATGAATCACAAGTATTGATAAGTCTCCTTAATGCACAAGGTCGTCAAAAATAGTTTTTGACGACGTGGGTCATGCGTCAAAATACACAGAATATCGCCATCCTTTTTTACCAAAAGTATGTTTTGTACTATCTGACACTTTTAATTTGTATTTGGTAGTAAGTTCACCTCCCGCGTTTTGCACAGAATTATCTCCGCTCATAGCGATCTATTTAAATATATTTATTTTTTTACGAAAGTGAAATCTGACGAATTATTAAAAGTCATGGAACAAAAATTGTTGTATATGATGTTAGTAAGACAGTCCTAAGAAGTTGTTAGCATTTTACAAATAACTCTGTAAATTTTACGAATATAGTACGTATTCCGTAGAATAGAATATCAGAATGCAGAAAATAGTACTGTAAGCATAAGTACTTTTATTTACAAACATCGTCTCACTCTGAACCTTTTCTAATTTGATAAAAAGTTACTCAAATATTGTATACCCTCGTGTTCTCATAATTTTGATTTTTAAGTGCATATATTTGGTGACTGTTGTGCACAAATACCAAACACTTCAAAGGTATTTATTTTCCGTTCTAGTATAGTATTTTTAATTACGTTATATTAGTGTAGTAAAAAACTCGAGTCCGGGAGTCTGTATTTATAAACTCGACTCATTTTGTAAGACTCAGTTGTCTAAAACACTCACGAGTCCGAGTCGCGTCGAGCCCAAGTCTTCAGCCCAAACCCAGCACAGACTCGAAGTCTAAAGAGAACTCGAGTCGTAAACGTAATTCGAGTCTTGACAAAATTCGACTTCCAAAATTTGACTCGAAGTGACTTCTACTCCACATAGTCATGAAAACGACAAGCAAAGTTCAATTTTACTGAACAATTTTCAATGCCCACAAATTTAAATAAAAAATTAATACTTAATATAGTGATTCAAAAAAGAAGAGGATAATAATACTTAATTATACTACAATTTAACACACCACAACACTACCGCTCAGTATGTACTTACTTACCAAACTCGTTATATAAACAGAGTCGAACTCGAGCGCGACTTGTTACATAAATAGACTCGAGCACTAATGTCAAACTCTAGTCTATTCGAAACATCGAGTATATAACCATAAATAGAGACGAAATGTCAAATTTGTTTGAAAACTATGCTGCCATTTCATTACTGTGGCAACAGCGCTTCGATTGGCCAGCCCGAATTCGAAACAATTGACGGGTGTCGTCAACTGTTTCACTTCAAATCGACCAGTTAACTTGAGCTTTACTATAATCGACGAAAATTTCAAAATTACATATTTCATATTTAATTACCGATGAAATGTTATTCCATTTGTTTTGTAATTAGATATTTTGCTGTTTTTCCCACACCACCGAATAGAACAGCAGGGCATTGTTAGAGATTATCTTTATTACAATAAATTCAGAATATTTTTGGAATATACGGAGACGTACACACAGGTCAGTATTTGGCCTGTCTATATTTCAGTACAAACGGGAGTTGATATTTATAAGAGCTGTATCGCTAATGTGTTACCAGGAATATATGGCCCTTATTTCGTCTCTATTTCTGGTTATATACTCGATGATTCAAAACCTGGACAGGCTCGTAATACACCGTCTAGTGAGTCTCTGTCTTTATGAGTCGAGTCTTGTGAATTGGAGCCAAGTCCTAATATGCAGACTCCCGGACTCGAGTTTTTTACAATGCTACAGGTCCCAATTCTGGCGTTTAGTAGCTAAATATCACAAACGAACCACGCTGTTAAGGCAGGCCACTAATCTAGCGAATTCGTTTTGTAAACTCAATTCAAAACTTACCTGCGATCCTCAATTGCATACCACTCATCTTACCTTTTTCGTAAGCTGCGTTTCCATCATGAAGTTATGTACGTGTTTCTCCGCTCTAGTTAATTCTAATTTTCTTGAAGCAACGGTCACTAATAAGGCTGTACATCCCGCCCCCTGTTAATTAGATCAACAAATAACTGTGATGAACGAATGCCACTGTAATACTTACTCTTTTAGTAAGTTGTGTATCCATCATGAAGTTATGAACGTGCTTCTCAGCTCTAGTTAATTCTAATTTTCTTGATACAACCGCGACTAATAACGCAGTGCATCCAGCTCCCTGTTAAGTGAATACCTTAATGTAAAATGCAAGCGAACGTGTATAAGCATTCAAGAGTTTCTCATTCCTTAAATGAAGGCTAGAAATTAAAAGAAACTGAAAATTATTTTGAGCCAAGTGCTTTTTTATTTATTATTATTTAAATTTTAAAATTATACTTTTTACAAAAAAGTAATGAGGATAATCGAATCAACTATTCTAACCTTTTTACGTTCAAAAACATTTAAAAAAATCTTTAATTCTATTGTTTCGATAATACTCATAGTTCGAAATCTGAATGTTATTTTTAAAATTATCATAATTATCTATTTAAGATTTAGTAACTTTTATTTAGCTTATAGATTTAGGCACTATAGTTAATAATGCGACAAATTATAATTAAGGGCGTATAGAAGTATGAAAATCGTTGTTAGGTAGGTATTGTTAATGTCTAGAAGTAAAGTTATTGATAAAGTACAACGATATTCACACTTTTATATAACTCTTTAATTACTAAATAACATTTAAGCAACTTTTTGAAGTGACTGTGATAATTATTCTCAGTGCATAATAACAAGTGAGTGCACACAAATTTATTTAAATTGATATTTAAATGTGTAATTATTTCAAACGTTTTTTTACCTTGATAGATTTAATGTGCAGATTTTACTTATTATCTTTTTATTGTCAAAATGAGTTTAGGAAAAGTGAGCCATTTTATAAATAAACTTATTGTGCGATTCAGTGAAATATAGAAGTGAAAGAGAGAGCTTGAAATATTAAGGAGAAATGAAGCATTCCAACTACAGTTATCTAATAGATGGCTTTAACAGGGAAATGGACGTTGGTTTATATTAAAATTTCAAAAAACAATACCGTTATTTGCTTTGATCAATTGTTACAAAAAACATGAACTGTGTGAACAACTACATAATACGTTATACGGTTTATATCTACCCTATGATTTGATAATAATCGTGTGTACATCGAATGTGAATCAGATATGTGAATATTGTAATAAAATGTGTACAATTAACATTATTATCGACATTAAAATAAAAACCACTTCGGTAACAACAGTTGCTTTGTGAACATCCATACAAAATTATTACATTAAATACATCGACAGCTGTGGTTGTGTGGTTTTTTTTTTGTAAATGTGTAAAGCAATTGTGTGATGTGTGATAGTTCGTTACATTGATACTGTGTTGACTGACTTTCGGGGAGGGAATCAATAGCTTCGCACGTAAGAGTTGTACATGATATATGGAACCATTTAATATCACCAAAGACCCATTATCTACCAAAACGGAGCGTAAACGAGGTGTGCTATGGCAACTAATAAATGGTATTTTTTCCCTGTTGTTTAATGAAACAACGTTTCACTCTACTTGGTAGATAATGGCTGGTTATAAGGTTCTGATTTGCTCCGACGTTTAACAGGAGACGCCTTGCTAGAAGTATAGTCGATGCCCTACGGTAACTGACCTCCTTGTCGACATTATCATTCTGAGAGTCTTCTTAAGTTGAATGCAACAGAAAATGTAAATTAATTCCGGCTCTTTGCTTGAAATTTATATTTGTTTAATTAAATTTTGGCATAAATCTTAAGATGCAATAAGGAAGTCACATCAAACTTAAATGTACGGCTCACAAGTTAAAGGTTAAGTTTGTTTAACACCTTTGTTCTTACCGATCTACTTAAAATCAAATACTCGGTGAGAGGGTCAGATGTCTTAGAGCATCGACTGTACATGAACGTGGCACAAGGTACGAACAATAACGATTCCTGCAGTGGAGGAGTACCGAAGTCCCGTTGGTTTGAAAACCGCTGCCATTTCACAAGAGAGACAATTATTTTCATGAAGTCACCGCTTTCCACTATGAGGCCTGGATATTTTTGAACACAAAACGTGGACATAACGTGGATTGGCGATACTGGGATAAGAAAAAGCATATGGATCATCATGTAAGGACTTATGTCCCTGTCGCGAGGTAAAAATTGCGGAACACTCAAACACTACAAACCTTTGTCATGAACTGTAAACAGTGCGTTGCGCGTTTTAACATAATTTATATGGAAGGCAAAAATCGTCCATACAATTTATACGCGCCACGATTTACTACGGCGTAAAAAATGCCATGAAAAGGTCGTAATGGTCATTGTACAATTTATAATACTTGGTCATACTTAATCCCGAGCATGAGTGCGATGAGTCATTTTAAAACATAAAGTGCGTCGTAATGCACTGTCTCTGGATTGAAGTAATTAAAATTAATTTCAGTGCGCAACTTCGACGTGGGAGGTTTGGTAACACTCTTTTGATGAAACACAGGGCGTGACGGTGCCTTCAATTTTGACGCTTGTAGCAATACTGCAGTGGCGTGTCCACGGAAGAAAAACACAATGTAAGTGCCATGGGCCTCGATTACTATCAGAACCGATATCGCCAAAACTCACAATTCTTAATTTAAAACACTACAAAATCTTGATATTGATTGATAGTAGTTTCAAATTTAAAAAGAAATAACAAACTCTGGATTGTTAACATAATTTAAACTTTAACCTGTTGGCATATCGTTGAAAGTTCAATACCATCAATACTATACAATAGCAAATAATAATACTAATATTGAAATTTCAATCAATGTGGTGCCATCTAGCGGTTCATTGCTGAACCACGAAAAATTGGAATTATAAATTTAATTCTCCAAACAAAAAGCGATCATACTGCAGAGATATAAGCTTTACTTTCGTATCTTGTAACAAAAAAAAATATTTCGATAAACAGAAAATCCAAAATTTATCAAAATAAAACTGTCCTGTGATATGAAATACCGTAACAGGTAATATTTTTGGTACTGCTATCATTTTTGCACTCCAAAACAGCACAATAAGGTATTTTTCTAGGATTTTAGAGTATTTGCACGAAAGAATGACAACCACAATGAAACCATAACCACAAAGCCGAGATAGCGGACTGAGCTCAGTTAGGTCTTTCGAAATCTATAGTTGGCACGCGTCAGACGCTAACTAACCACTTCTATTACTTGTACGCTGTATTTACTGTTCTGTAGGCCTATCTGTGGCGCGAAATCCGCGACTACTAATTTTCATACAGTATCTAGTCTGTAAAAGTGGCGCACGCGTGGCGCGACTGTAGGCACTGCGGCTGCGCTTCTAAATATTGTATGAAAATTAGTAGTGACAGTGCAACGCCACAGTGGTGCCACTGCAGCGCTTCTATAAGCGGCTAATTTGAAGGCGCCCTTAGGCCTGTTATCTACCAGAAAAGAAGTGCTGGGCTTCAACAATCAATAATGTTTTGACTTAGCTGCTTGGAGATGTCATAATGACAAAATACTATTAATTGTTGAAGTACAGTTGCTCTACATTTTTCTTTTAGAGATAATGGGCCTAGAACTATAATTATTAATTTATTTTCTCATTTAAACCGTACCGTAGTATTAGGCTGCCTGAATAATTTATTTTTAACACTCAAAAAGGGGGATAAGAGACTCGTGCTATCAATTAAATTACTATAAATTATTTTTTGCGATTGTTGCACATTGGAAATGAAACAATTTTTTTAACAGTCAGCCGTGACCGCAGGAATGACTTAACATTAGTTTGTTTGAAAAAACAAATATACGCGATTTAAATCTGAAAAAAAATAGTTTCATATAGTTATTAGAAATTGAACAAACTGAAAAGTATAATTCAATTTCCAAATGTGATTTTGATATTTATTTAGTTGGTAACAATGTCTTTGACTTTTACTTTGTCATTCTTTCCTCAAAAAATACTTAATTAATTACTTGCATTTGTTCCTTCTTCTCATATTTTATTTGAAAAAAAAAAACTCATTTTTTCTTAAAGCAAAATGAAAAACATAATACAATGTCCCCCTCTTTGGTAGTAAAATTTCGTCATAGTGAATATGAAGTCAGTCAACACATAATAAAGCTTGTTTTTAAGAAACTTACCATAATACCGGTGCTAACAGCGATACCTCTCCCGCAATATGTGTTTGGCACAATGTCACCAAAACCAACGGAGAGGAATGTTATTGCAATTAGCCACATCGCATTCAGTAGGTTAGCGTGTTCTTCGTCGTGAAACCTGAATTGTTAATACATTTTAACGCGTTACTCAACACAACTGTCTTTTGAAATATATTACATAAAACCATCGAACGTGATCCGACAAGTCCTAACGAAATTGCTGCGAAGCGTCGCCCTATCAATCAGTGGTAAGAGTAAAAAAATTCAAATAAAAATATAAATAAAGACAAACCGTATTCAGACATTGAAGAGTTTGACTTTGATTGTGAAATTGCTTCAAACGATTGTGAAATAATTAACACATAAAATGGCTCACCTTTACCGACCTAAGTTTGTTCTCAAGGCAAAGCAAGTATATTGAGAAATTTGATAAGGAAAGAGTCTTGCTAGACCTATTTTGAACAATTTCTATGATGACGTTAACCGAATGAGAGTGTTTCGAACTTGAAGTAAGTGAACCCAAAGTGCCCTACAGTTGTCATACATACCACCATACCGCAGGTGAGGGTAATGCCACGGCCGCAGTAAGTGTTGGGGACTATGTCACCGTAGCCGACACAGAGGAACGTTATAGCAGTCAGCCACATTGAGTTTAGCAAATTTGCATGGTCTTCATCATGGAACCTGAGAGCCAAAACGCCCAACAAGAACCACAAGATAACCGTTTGCTCGACCAAACAATATAATAACGTTCTGTATTATATTACTTAACAAGATACAATATTTTTTACGAAATCGAACGTTCGTGACAATTCAAGCAAGTACACAATAGAAATTTAGAATTTCATCCAATAAGACTTCAAGCTATAAAACAAATTTCTAAACACAGACGTTTATTCATGTCCATAACTGGCATGCCTATTGAAAGACGATAAATAAACATCACTTCTACACAGCTAAAACCGACAATAAATATTTTAAAATACATCGTGCACTCTAAACACTGATCTGGGTTGAATACGAAAACATTAGCCATGCGTGAGTATTTCATTTGCTTGTTGAACAGAGAGACGACCACACATATATATATATAAAACAAATAGACAGACTGCAAGAAAGAGAAGGAGGAGAGACACATAAGTGGGAATAGGCAGTTTCATCGGGAAGAAGTATTTTAATCAATGCATGATTGTGAGAAAGGTGCAATGGCTTTGTGCATTTAGATGTTAGCGAGTAGTTATAAGCATAAGTATTATGTCCATTCATTTATAGAGCCATTTTGTGCGTAATTTATGCAATTTTTACTGTTGCTGTTTACAAATTTATTTATTCCACGTGTATTCTGTGCCATATTGGATATGCAACAGTAAATAGAAACCTGTACCGTGAATGTGCTGTGTTATTGTGTTAGTACTACTTTGATAACATTTAGCGTCTTCTACATTGATTGATTCCATATTTTCTAAAACTAATTACTTGACAATAGCGTTCGTGTGAACAGTAACGAATTCTACATTGCAATGTTATTCAAAGTCAAACTCTTGTATATCACTGTGATGATCATGAACCTAGCACCACTACTTAAAAAAAGTTCTCCGAATGTAAATCCTAGACATTTAGAACAAAAATATAGTGGGTAAGAAGCGAAACAAATATTTACAACGCCACAGTACAAAAGCAATAGCATGCCCACTGGCACAAAACACTGGTGATATCCTTAAACAATTTGCATAAAACTTCGTAGTGTCAAATACTTAGGTAAACAAAACGATGGAAGCAAAAACTTGAATTGACGAAAACAAAAAAAATTAAGAAAAAATTAACCTTAACAATAGCGTATTTGATATCTGACTCATCCTTTCACTTACAAGAGTCAGTACACAGATCATATATTTGATACACTATTAGTAACAGTGAATTTATAAAACGTACTAACCTCTCACATTGCCTTAGTGTCCAGCTTGCGATGATCCACAGTGACACCATGAACACCAGTAAGACAGTGCCAGGACAAATGGTCATTAAAGTTTTTAGGACAAATCTGTGAAGAGCATTACTTTATGAAGCCAAAATATGCAAATCCATTATTTTATTTTCTTAGAAAAACCATATTTGATGAAAAAACCTTTACAACGAAGAAGCTACATAAAAGTAACTAAAAGTAAATGAGATTAATCACCAAACTATGTAAAATATTCGGCGGGTTTCACTTATAAATTAAAATTACAAACTCAATCTAAGAATAAAAATGCAATTTCCAAGACAAATACGGTAAATATTCTATAGATCATGTTTAAAAGTAAGAAAATTACCTAGTATTAAAGTTAATTCTGTTTAACGCCCCTATACTTCTAGAAGAGGCATCTGTGAACAACTTGCTGTGAAGAAGCATAACCCTGCATATGAGGTATAGCCGAAAGAACATTGGTAAAGACAATGTGACGTCATATGGAACCTGGAATGTTAAAATAAGAAAATATGGTAACAGACAAAATCAAACATTAGTCACATGTGGGACTACATGGAAAATAGAACATTTCTGTAAAAGTCAAATTTCAAAACGGAATTGATAATTAAATGTCACTGAAATTATATTCAGCAAGTAATTATTTTGTTGATACAAATAAACACATAAAAGCTCTTTCAATATGATCAAATTATACTGTGTTCGGGATACGCCTTGATTAAACATTTTAATTTAAACTAATTATCGTAAATTCTCAAGTTAATTACGTAGTTTCAAAGCAAAGGACAAAACACCTTAAGGCACATTCAACAAACTCATTAGACAAACAAGTGTTTTTACTTTTTTCTACATTTCAAGTGATGTCAGGTTATCGTGAATTCTAATTTGTTGTTAAAATAATAATTTTTTTCTCTATCTACATACTTTTTAACAAAATACTAGTTTAAAAAAATAACGTTAGTTAATGTGACTACATGTTTAAATATGTATTCATTAAACTATTGTGAATTAAACGTGTAAACTAAATGTTAACTAGGTATAAAATTGACAGGTTCTTAAGGACTTTACTATCACAAAAACTATTTTATAAAAACAGTACACACTTTCGGTTGCATTTGAAAACATAAAAATACACAATTATGACAATACAAGACAGTGATGTGTGGGACATTTCATACATTTCGGCACATGCTGTTCAAACATAGATTCTAACATCACTTAAAACTGACAATTCAACAAAATACAGACCTGTATATGCTTATATGATATTGTGCCCTAAGGAGGAAAATAAAAAGCAAATATCAGTAAAACAGTAACACAAAATAAATCCTATATGTATAAAGCATAGGCCTTCAAATGAGATGCTTTTAGAAGCACTGTAGTGGCGCGACTGCGACACGGCAGCCGCGTTTCTGTAGTTCAGTAATTTATTTCACTAATTGTGATTGCAGAAATGGCGCACGTGTCTCGACAGTGGCGCTGCAACTGCACTTCTAAATATTGTATCAAAATTGGCAGAGGTGCGGCGACGTGTCATGATAGTAGCAACACTGTAGCGCTTCTGTAAGCATCTAATCTGAAGGCGCCCTAACAATCATATTTCTGTATCAATGTTGTGGTTAAGCATACACATAAATGTAAAAAAATTAGTATCGACACTATGTTATTATAAGTTAATTAACATTGTATACTTGTATTTATGTCAGCTGTTCATATTTAAATAACGTTTTATCGTTAAAGGTAATTTGCAAACTTCTATATATATTACATTATTGCAGAGGCCGGGAAGTAAGGGATAGCCGGACAAGTTTGAGTTACTATGTCTCGCTGGGGCGCTCGGCCGTGTAATATATGAGTCAGGCAATCTCGGTTACCGCCGAGATATATATAGAGCTTTTCTCAATAAATGCAAGGAAATGATACAAGTACAAGTAACTTTTTAAGTTTTTTTTCTGACGATAGACCTTTTTAAAACAAAATTAGTAATATCCCGTCATTCGAGACAGGCTAAGGCGTCTAATTGGCATTACTGCCAGATTTTGGATTGTAATTTTTCTTCAATAGTTTAATTTTCTAATATTTTTTCGGAAATCGTTACATCTTTACGGTGACCATTTTGAAACGCCTTTTAAAACGGAATTAACAATCAAATACACGCTCTCCGCTGAAAAAACAAACGGACAACTTGGCTGTATGACATTTTTCTATAGCCATTTAGTTGTAGTATGCAATTGTCAAATATATAAAGGTTTAACGTGTTCTGGGTTCAAAAGAATATCCAACTTTTCCGATTATCGTTGAGAAAAAATATTTAAGTCCTTTCTACTTTCTTGAAACATTATCTATGTGGAAATAAATAGCAAAAAGGACCTAATAGGTATCTCTTGCAATTAAAAATAATGTTTGTCTTCTGTGAAAATATATCACACATTATATGCCTTGAGGAAATGTACACAAGGAATATCAGATTGCAGAGCATGCACAACTACATAAGCAGTTTTTTTAATTCATAATATCCATAGTTTCATCTTCTTGCATTTATATTGGACATCGAAACTTATAATTCAACAGCTATAACCTTAGCCAAGATACAGTAATTAAGCGAATTATATTTTCAACGGCTAACTATTGTACCTTGGTTCATTAGTATGCTATTACCAATAAAGGACAATTTAATTTCAATACTCACAACTTCAACACCTATAACACCGCCTTTATTGGCTAACTTTGTTGTCCAGGTAAAAGTGTACTGTCCGGGAATTGGATGGACGGCACATATGGCGAGTTCCAAGGCTATTTGGGCTATTCTCTGCCAGGTCATTGCTATTCGCCAGTCGTCTGCGCAGTTGTCTATCATAAATAACTGAAATAAAACATTTAAAGGTTTCGTTAGCCCAATCATACGTTAAACTGAATTTTTCGCGATTCTTTCAAGATAAGAAGACAAGATATTTCGCCTAAGGACAAGTCTTGCGTTCGTTTTTAACCTTGACGCTACATTGTACACTCGAAGCAGTTTATAATCTTCTGAATCTAATACTGAACACCATGATGAAGATATGGGGGACTGAAAACTGCTCTGTGTTGTTTCCATATAAGAAACGGTCGAGTGTACGTTCGCACTTGCTCGACTTTGACAAATATTAACAGATGATGAGAATGAACACGTATTTTTTACATACATAAATGCATATTTTGTTTGAATATAATAATTATCGTGTTTTGTGTTAACCTTTCAAGGATTATTTCTCATTATTCTGTGCAAGTGTCACTGTATTATTTTTATTACGAGAGTACTTTTTAACATTAGAACGGTTCTGTAGCTATGCAAGACTGACCTGGGTAGTTGTACCGCAAGAATTACTGAATTTTGTATTTAAGGGTAAAAGGTAAGATCCTATACCCAACAGTCGTCAATCAAATGTTTTTATAGTACATTTTGTTGAAGTAAAGATACTCTTGATGTGCTGAACTCTGCTGAAAAGGTACCACAGCCTTACTTATTTGTACTGCAAAACTGCACTGTTGGATACTTTTCGCCGGTTGAACCTGTTTGACTGTTGTATAAGTTGAACACCATATATAAAAAAGAATATTTACCTTTTTTATATATAATATTAAGTGAAGGGACGAACAAGTCGTGCGCTTAATGGTAAGCTACACGCCTGTCCATAACTAGTGCAGTGCCACTCAGAGCTTTAAATCGCAAAGATCTGAGGGGCACAGCCGCTGCGCCTGTTACCTTGAGACATAATCTGACAAGTTCATTCTGCTTCATAGGTTGAATATCATATATAAAAAAAGAATATGTACCTGTACTTCTAAAGCGTGATAAGCGACTATTAGGCCAAGTAAAATCACAGTCGACATTGATATTAGCGTCTTCAACGCTTGTGAATATATTGAAGCCTGAAAATAAAAAAAAATGTTTATAGACAAAGAAAAATTGGATCATATCTAATAATTTATATTTTTTAACCTATTTCCTAAAAAAGGAGGAGGTTCTCAATTCGACTGTTTTTTTTTCGTACGTATGTTTCGCGATAACTCCGGTATTTGTGAACCGATTTTCGTGTTTTTTTTTTATTGGAAAGAGGTTCTGCATGGTGGTCCCATTTAATTTTGAAGAAAATCATTTACCGCTAAGGGTGGCTGTTCACGCATGAAGATTCATTTTTATAAATAGCGCCTAAATTTTATTATAAGCAGCAATTATTTTAATGGTTGATTTTGCTATTCTCCAATTCAATGCGTTTTTCTCTCTCAATATACTTTTAGAAGTGAGAACCGAATTTTATTATATTTTAGGTACTAACTAGGGGATGGGGTAGGGGATAGGGGATTACCCGGTAACCGATTTCTATAAAACATGGAAATTATATGTAATTACACGTACTTTTGAGGTCGGTTTTTTTAGTACTCTGTACTGAGATTATATTGAAGAGTATATTCGTAGTGTTTTATAAACGTAATCCATTTCCATTTCTTTTTCTTGGCAAAGTCAAAAACTCAATAGTACCGGGCTCTGTAGTCTCGTTCTCCGTCCGAAACAATTACTGTGAAATAAGTAATATACGACCAAATTCAAAGACGCAAGTTGCGACTGAAGCTTGATATATGACATAGTCTTTTAATTTAGTCGAGTATTATATAGAGATAACGGACGAAGAACGGGAGTAGATCCCAGATTTGTACTCACATACATACATATGCCTCCTACCGGGGTAGGCAAAGATGGGGCTTCAGTTCCTACGCTCCTGACAAACCTCTTTCGCCTCCTCCACTTCCAGCAGTCTCTTCATACATGCCCATTTATTCTTGATACTTTTAATCCGACCATTTTAAAGACATCCCCACTCTGACTGAGGTATGCGCCGAGGTCTACCTCTCCTCACGTCTCCATCCACATTCGCACTATAAATTTGTACCGCTAATCTACCGATATTCATACGTTCTACACGACTAAACAAATATTAGTTATTGTATAATTATTACCAAACAATGTATTCTGCGGTTATTCCAAAACCGCATTCAAGAGTTTACACGGACACTCCTAATGTACAATAAAAGAGTTAACTCATATATAATTCACTCATAAAAAAAAAACCTGTGACATAAACATATCGGTGATTTTTTTAGATAAAGTGGCATAAAATAAAAGTTTCGAATGCGGTTCTAGAATAGTATATTATACCCTTAATTCTTCTATAAAACTTACATAAACTTAAGAATAGTAATACCTTGGTGTAGACGCCAGCACTTGAAAGTTCGTTTTCTATAACCATAATTATAATACCGAACATTCCCATGACTAAAGCGTAGTCACTTATTCTTTTTCTTTTTTCAAATAACGCCTTTCTTCTACCTAACCTGAAATGTATAGTAATATATTGGTCAGTTTAAATTTTTTGACACAAATTACAAGTAACTAAGGATAAGTCAAAAGCACATAGTGATTTCGACTTTGCAAGGCTCTTATCCGAATAGACGTAGAATTGTATTTATATCTTAAGTGTCAAGTTTGACGTGCCCGTGATTATTATTTATTAGTTAACGCAATATTGACAACAATAAGGAGAAAACTCATTATTAATATCTATTTCAATTTAACACTAAGTACAAGTAACTAAGCGCAAGTTAAAGGCACATAGTGATTTGGACTTCGCAAGGTTCTTACTCGAATCGAAGCAGAGCTGTATTTAAATCTTAAGTGTCAAGTTTGACGTGCCCGTGATTATTATTTATTAGTTAACGCGATGTTGACAACAATAAGGATTAATTACTCATTATTAATATCTATTTCAATTTAACTCTAAGTACAAGTGACTAAGGGCAAGTTAAAAGCACATAGTGATTTGGACTTCGGAAGATTCTTATCCAACTCGACATAGAGTTGAATTTAAATCGTAAGTATCAAATTTGATGTGCTTGTGATAATTATTTATTTATTAATACAATAATGAAAACAATAAGGAGCATTTCAATTCAACATTAAGTACAAGAGACTAAGGGCAAGTTAAAGGCACATAGTGATTTGGACTTCGCAAAGTTCTTACCCAATCGATATAAAGTTGAACCTTAAGTGTCAAGTTTGACAATCATGACTATGACTATTATTTATTAATTAATACAATATTGAAAACATTTATTTATTAAATGACAACATCTATTCGAATTGAATATTAGGAGACGTCGTGAGATTTTTTTGTATAATTTTGTACTTTGCTATCATAGCTTGTATGGGTGCAATCACTCACTGAGTGGTGCTAGCAGAATAAGGGCGTAGTTGACTGTCAAGGTCTATAGAATATATGTTGAGTCAGAGCCAATTCATCACAAAATCAATTTGTTATTTTGTTCATCTGTGTAAATATTGCAATTCATGAATTTGTACCAAATTACGTAGTGCCTTGCGAAGTATTCGTGTGCTAAATAAAGTACTCGTTAGTTTGTATTTACGCTTTTTTATTTTATTGTCTAATAATATATCTATTTATAAATAATATGGTCGAGAGAAAAAACTTGACTAAGTATTTTTAGCCGACTTCAAAAAAAGGAGGAGGTTCTCAATTCGACTATGTTTTTTTTTGTATGTACGTTACGCGATAACTCTGATTTGTGAACCGATTTTGGTAATTCTTTTTTGTTGGAAAGAGGGTACCCCAATAGTGGTTCCATTTAGATTTGAAGAAAATATTCTACCTATAGGAGTGGCAAACTAGGGGATGAATGTTTTTTGAGATTGGTTTTTTTAGTACTCTGTACGAGATTATTTAATAGCCCGATACCTATTAACATGGCATTCTCGTAATTACAACTAATAATTGTATTAAACAAAATTACGAATTTCCTTAAATACATCTCATAGAAATAATGAACAGCTAATGCATGTTTGTATGAGAAGTAGGTATTATTCGAATTTTCTAAATTCGTAGGAAAGTTCCATCTCGGTTGCTCAGTGGCTAACAATATGACTGCTACATAAAGAGTTCCCAGTTTCCATTTTCTATACATAGAAGCATTTTGTGACCAAGCCTTTCCAAAATTGGTTTAGATCTAAGTGTTCTGGGTTGCTCTGGTACTTATTTTACAGGAAGAATCTAAATTTGAGCAGCTAGTTGATGCAATTTTTGGCTCGTTATAAATACATTGTCATACTGATTATATTTTTGTTGTGTACCAATTCAGAATCCAATATTTTGTAATAAAATTTTCCAAGATATTGTAAAAATAATGTCCAAAACGAAGATCGTAAAACTATTCTAGACGAACTCTATATGTAGGGACAATTCGTTCTGCAGAACAAGAAAATCGATGCGACCCTGATGCAATCTATTTCCGTTCGCTCAAGGCTTTAGTCATTATTAAAACGCTCTTAATACAAAACTGTACTATTTTTTAAATGATTGTATAAGCCAACCACAATGCAGTGATAATTGCTTGCTCTAGTTTATGAAAAGCCTTCATACAGACTAAATTGAAAGTAATCGATTGATTGGAGTTAATTTTGACGAAAATGAAGATTATCTACACAACTTTAGCGCGAAGTAAAGTAATTCATCTTAAACTTTATGATATTGACAGCAATCAGTCCGTTACGGAGTCTCAACACATTTTTTTGCGAAAAGACCCGTGAAAGGCTCAATTTTAAAACCCTTTTTGTTCTACAATTAAGTAGTTGCCCTAGATTAGCATACATTCGAGTGCTGTCAGTTAGAAGGAATTTTTCTTTATGGTCGATCTTTATATTAATAATTAAGTAGTGTTAATAACCTTTTCAAATGAAATTAACTTTGTGATATTATGTAACCTGTAATTACTAGGTATGGTACAAGAATAAGTTGTCTATTGTCGAAATTTAAAACGATTATTCTTTTGGACGTGGAATCAATCAAGTAACAATACTCTCTGGTGTATTTTAAAATATTATACGAACCTAATTGGCATCGCTCTATTCTTAAGTCTTTTGAACTGACTTCAAGGAGAAGATTCTCAATCTGAATTTTATTGGGAATTAACGTCCTTAATCTTCGAATTCGAAAATCTATCAGTTAACAATTCAGTTGTGGACAACGACAAATGTTTTTGCGATTCTTCAAGGTTTCGTCTATTTAGGAGAAATTATAAATTCTTTGCATTGTTGTTTGGCCTAGCTAACCTGGCAGATTCACGTTTCTAACTGACTACGGTTTAGTCTACGTATTTATATCTTATGAATTAATTATACATACCTATATCCTATATTGGGTTTATGTTTCGCCGCCCCCCCGCCCTTGTAAGTGCCGCCGCCGAGTGCCCTCTCCTCTCCAAAGCGCGGGTACTCGCTGTGGACGCCGACAAGTGCGACTCCCGCTTCCTCTGACGCCGCGTCTCTGCCGCTGCCAGAGTACGCCTTCATCGCGCCGGGAATCGAGAGCGTCGACACCGGCTTCCGCAGCTGAAATATACAAGAAATACTTGTAAATTCATAAGTCATTTCGTGATTCTATGTCTCCAATTTCCAAGAACTGCGTTGCCTTTTGCGTTGACTATCAACGCAAGATTGCATACGCATTTATGTCCTACATGTTATGGGTTTTGTTTTTATATCAAGTATCAATTTCTTCGCCAACACATGACCTTAATGTCATTTTCATTATCATCATCATCAACCCATTTATACGTCCCAATGTCAGGCGAGGGTTTGGGCCATAGTCCATCACGCTCTGGCCCAATGCGGCTTGGAGACTTCACATGTTTTTTTTGAGGATTATGAACCTTTTTGTTATAGATCTTTATATTGGTTTTCGGCACTCGGTGCTGCTAGTGATACCTAGTGAAAGATTTTAGAACCTTCTCACCGCAGCCGGTACCTTTACAGGTGTCACAAGCTACCGTTAACGTTGCTTTTTGATGAAGTGTATTATTGAAAAATTTCTTCGACGCGATGGGATGGTTGTGGTCCTTTTTCGACGTGCAGGTTTCCTCACGATGTTTTCCTTCACCGAAAACCTCACGGTAAATTTCAAATTACATATACACGCATTTGTATACTACATATCACGAGTTTTTGATTTCAATCAAATATTAACTTCTTCGCCCATACAAAATTTTAATGTTTTAGTCACTATATTCTTACTTTATTTTATTTTACATTAATAGCAGGCAGATAAATTTTATTGATTACTGCAATTAAAATAAAATTTACGCCTGTTGGACTGCTGCCAAAATCGTACGTGTCGCAAAACTTGACAAAGCCATAAAATATATAATAATTTGGTCCGATTTATACTATTCTTCAAATACCAATATTTCGTATAAGTATGACATTACGTCTCACTTAACGAACATTTTCCGGTAAAGTTGCTTCTTTGGGGCAAAAAGTTTTGGGTTGACGAGGGATATCGTCATAATAAATAATCATACGGTCTAACCCATCTCATATAGTGTTCCATTATGATTATGACGTATTACTTAATTTGCTGAATTTGACTTATCGTGTTTTTGGATTACAATTTAGTATCTTTAAGAAATTAACTATTAAGAGAAGTTAGCTATTTCTGCCGTCAAAAAGTAATGTGAGAATTACTGCGTTCCGGTTTTGAAGATTAGCTGCACCCTTTGCTGGAAAATTACATGCACATGGGACTTGTCAATTTTATGTGTCAGGGTGATGGGTGCAGTGTCAGTGCCCCACAGATCTTTGCAATGTACAACTATAAATGGTACCACAGCTGTTATGAGTAGGTGTGTCGCTTACCACCAGGCCACGACTTGTTCGTACCGTTACTTCATATCATAAAAAAGTACATATACCAACAGTCATCGTAGACTTATGATTGGACCTCTGAGCGCATTTATTCGAAACGAATGTCATCGCGCTCAACCCGCGCGGCCGCCGCGCGTTTATGAGCGGAGTCCGCGTATCCGCTGCGCAGCGACCGCGTGCGTCTAACTGTCATGACAAAATACGCTCTATTTATTTGACCTTTACTTTTAAACTTAAATGAGCGTGCCGGGCACGCAGGCGAGACTGGCTTCAATTTGGTCTACGCAGCGGCCCGCGCGGCGACCGCGCGGTTGTATTATTCAGAGGAATTTAAATGTTGTTGCCTAGTAAATGGAATTCGGATTCGCCATTAATGTACATAAAGGCGTAGTAACGAAACACTTTCGCCTCGTATAAATAGGTGCTAACGCCTGCACCGCTGAGTTTCTGCAAAGCAATTTAATGATGTGTGTGAATTTCCTTATACGCATTGGTTCCGCGTCGGAACTACAGCCAAAACTCTCTCATTGTGAAAGGAGACCTTTGCTCAGGAGTGGGACTACATATCGCACTGTTGATACAATACTGTATTAACTCAAAAAGTAGACTTTCTCAGAATCGATGAAAAACGAATTACTCCCCGCAAAAAATCATCAAAAATGTATGTCATAGTTTACTATAGGCACTTAAACAATTTCTCAAATGTATTTAAAAATAAAATGGAAAACATTTTTCATATTTTTGAATAAGTATTATTTTGGCCAGGACTAGCTTACATAAAGTGTGTCTCATTTTGAGTTAAGTGGATATCTTTTGATTATTATTTTGTTACAATATTCTAACGACGGTTTTTTTAACGTGTAGAGAATCAAATTTTACGTTCAGTAATAATATAATATTAAATTTCACATATTTTGAGTTACAACGCATTGTAATAGCAGTGCGATATAGGCGAATTCTTATTATGACAGAACATAGATAATATATTATATTATGAATTAAAAGCAAATTTAACTATTTTTAAGGGAAAACCATCGATGAGATTTATTTACATATTAAAAAAAAGAACACATTCATCTACTCTTTACAACCATAATATAAAAATTACAATTAACTTTATTCTCTGCCCTTGTGCTCTCCACAGACAATTTCAGTAAAAATGTATTTTGTTGCACATAGAATATAGTCCATTTTGTTATGGCAATAAACAATGTTATGTGCGTGACTGAAAACGCCCGTATGTCTGTTTGACCTACGGGAGTGGTCTGATGTGCATATTTCAAATTATAGTCAGAGGCAGAATTTTTTCCACAGTAAACATTTTAGGTTATTAAGGCCAACGGTTTTCAGACTGCCATTACATATTTAGAACCACTATTTCCCGACATAAATTATATTTCTGACAAGACGAATATTGATGCAAAAGAAAAAATATTTGTTCAGTAAACTTTAGTTCCGCTTGTGACCGCTAGGGGCACTGTAAAATTTCACATTGTCAAAGTCAAATAATTATTTATTCTATAGGTAAAATGTTTACACTTCAGAATGTCATTTTTTAAGCTACTGCTCTCTGAGAAAAACAAGCAAGATACTCTAGGGACTGCTCTTTTCCAATAAACTTAAATGCTATGGAATACACTTTGAATCATAATTGTGTGGAACTTGACTCATGCTCACAGACACATACTCATCAATTTTGTAATATCACATAATATGGTAAGTTTTAAACAATGGGAAATGATAATTTTAATATATGCTCCGGAATCTTATTTTAAAAACGTTTTAAAATAAGATTTTTTTACATTTTAAAATAAGAGGGTCCCATTAAAGAATCGTTTATCTTAGTTAAACGAAATCGTGGTACCTTGGGTTTGGACCTAGTTCTAAAGTTAATATTACGGATATCTTATTTCTGAAATTATTATATTTTTATGGGCATACAAAATAATAGAGTGAATGTACTGTGATGCCACAGTCATGATACCAGTCTCCTTAAACTTTTCTCTAAGAGAAACACGAGAACCTAAACGGTACACAGAACGAATCGCTCGTTTTTGCGACACATATGGTTTGTATATCTACCTACAAAATTATATTACACAGTCACTAACTACTTCACTTTGTAGACTCATGCAAGCTTTCCAGTTGTAAGTAGAGCTTACGGTATATAGAAAAAGGTATACAGAGTTATTTGTAAATACTAAATACTAACAACGACGCAGGACTATGTTACTAACATTCTAAATACCAATTCAATGACTTTTTACATAGCATAGTAAATTTACCAAAAATACGTTTAAGCTTTTGTTGTACTATCTGAGACTATTAGATTTGTCTTTGGTAGTCAGATCAAACGTGCCAGCGTTCTTTCCGATGACCTCCGCTCCATTTATGCATTTGCATTGGACTGGTATTTACGCTAGTGCTCTTTTGTTACTGCTCAAAGTTATCACCGTTTAGAATGATCCAATGAAATGTTTTAATTTTTTGTATGAAAGTAAAACCTGATGAATTCTTAAAAGTTACGAAACAAACGATGTTGTTTATGATATTAGTAATATTGCTCCTCTGAGGTTGTTATTTTACAAATAACCCTGTGTAAAAAAATCGTTAACATGTCTATCGACCCTCCCTACGTAACCCAAAACCAAGTATAAAGCGACTTGTCAAACACATTCACGTTCGAATATTCTCACTTTGATTTAGGTTTGTTTACCAATTTCAAGTTTTGTTTACTTTACAGAAAACATTTTTTGTTTTGTCTTCAATTTACAATAGAAATAGCGAAGAGCGAATCAAGTTTTATATAGAGTTGAATTTTAAATCCTAAGTGTCAAATTTGCCGTGCTCTTGATCCTGTACGAACTATTGGTTTTTATTAGTACATAAAATCTATAAATTTTCATAGGAAATATTATGTTTAAAAACATTAATCATATATAAGGTAAGGCGCCGAGGCAGACCGAGGAAGCGATGGCGTGACGAACTGGACGCCTACGATAAGGCTTGGGTCCAGTTAGCTCAAGACAGGGATGAGTGGAGGGATCAAGTGGAGGCCTTTGCCCAACAGTGGGATACACCAGGCTAATTGTAATTGTAATACATAAGTCATGTATTTAAAACAACAAAAAAAAAATTCTTATAATTATTACCAAAAAATATTAAATATTAATAAAATATTAAAAGAATTTTTTCTGAGTGTTCGATCTGTATATGTATCTAACTGGGTGATAAAACTTTCATAGATTTCTCATAGAAGGCGCTACGACTAAAAAGTCGTTGAAAAACCAAATACAAAGACCCGACAAGCACATCGCCGGATCGAAGGAATTTTTTCTGAGTGTTCGATCTGTGTATTAATAATTATAATAAACTAGTGGAGTAATTTCACAAAAATAATTGAATATCAGTTCAATAAAAATGAAAAAAACGCATTACTCACACATTCGACTATACATATATAGAACACAAAGAAAAATTCTTTCGACCCATTTCGAAGTTAATAAACTTAAAAAGGTGGAGGTTATCAATATAGTTAAGCACAGGAAGACGTCAAACTTCGACCTTGTCATGAGAAACGATTAGCACAAATTACCCCAGCTTATTATCTAGTGCAACATCGCTGGAAAATAAAGTGGTGGTAGAAACCGGTGGTTAAAGAATATGGGGGAATGGTTCAAAATGGTGGT